GCCCGCCGCCCGGCCGAGCCCCCTGCCCGCCACCTCGGGGGCACGTCGGCAGCGGCCCAGGGGAACGGCATCCCACGCAGAGCTTACTGCCATTATGAACGACTACGAGACCAAAACCCCCAAATTTTGAATATCTGCTGCTGCCATAAAAGCCAACCGTATTAGAAACGCTTCGCTTCTGGCCCAGAGCAATGACCTACATTACCCTAAACTACAAAGCCTTTGCAATCAGCCAAATGAGATACTCCTCCTCCTAAGGCTCATTTTGTAAGACACTGGCTGTCATCCCTGTTTACCTTGTTTACAAACCTAATTTAATGCACAGAGGCCACAAACGAGTTTAGTGAGGAAAAAAAGAGCATTAACAGTAAAACACAGTACCCATCACACTACGAACGTATTTTGGCCAGACACCAGAACACCATTCTGGGGCTAATTTTGTTGTAATAAAGCAATAAAATACTCCTAACTTCCCACACTGAAAATCAGAACTATTTGCAAATGCAGTGCCAGGGATTTCTTAGACCTCTCACAAACACCCCTACCACAGCTTTTCAGTCTTCAGCATTGGGAACTTCAGCGTCTCCTTACCAGACAATAGGAAAAGGAAGCAGTGCCGTAACGACAGACCAGGCTCAAGATTTTTAGCTCAGTAGTGCTGAATCACCTTTACAGCAGAAAAAAAAAAAAATTCCCCCGCCCCAACAAACAACAGCTTCTCTGGGTGTTATCTAAAAAGCTCTGAGCCTGCACCCCACGGTGCATGTACGTCCGTTTCCCAAAATGCAACGCTGACAAAAAGCCCATTTCTGTGCCGAGGAACATAACCAGGGAAGAGCCAGCCAAGGCTGCCACCTCTAGGCTGTACAGCAAACCAGGAGCACGATCCCCTCGCTCCTGTCTCTGTCAGCACCACAACCTGGGACGATACTGCACCCTGCAACACCGGGCAAGTTAGCACGGACAGAGCTTGGAGAGCTACACGAATTTTATGGTGACAGGAGATAAAACACTCAAGCCAGCGGGGTATGTATCTGGAAAGATACGGAGGGGATGCACAAACTGAAATCTGCCGAACCCCCCTGCAACAAGTGATGCCCCTTGCCCTCGCTGAGGAAGGCACACACGCAGCCCAGCGTCTTCTCGCTCCACACGTGCTTCGGAAGGGACAACCCAATTTAATCATCCGTAGGAAGCAAGCGAGATGTACGTTAAAATCCCCCGGCTCTCTTAACCCACCTGTTTGCAAGCCAGTTTCAAACTTCAGGAGAAGCACGCTCCGGTGGCATTATTCACCCTTACCTCTGAACACCACAAATGCATGTGGTTTTCTCAGTATCACAGTGCTCTCCCAGGCTGGCTTAATGAAAGGTGGCTGCATGCACCTATCAGTTACAAGGTACTTGCCTCTTGCTGGACATCGGTTACAAGCCTAATTTTCATTTAGAAGTTGCACACCGAAAAGAAAGAGGAAGACTGCTGTAAGTCAAAACGCAGGACACAAGTGAGCCAGAGAAGCATCTTGGGGACGTTGGCCTTAGTGATATCCAGACTTCCTGCGTGGGGCTGAAGAGCAAGACACCAAGTTTCTAACTTCTCTATCAGTACAGGCAATAAAAAACCCCCACAAAACAAAAAGCCAATTAAAAAATACCCAAAACCCAAACCCCACCCCAGACAAAAAGCCCACTACACCCATCAGCCTTCTCCATCCTGCAAAAACAGACGCAGACACCGCTCCAGCTAGCCTTTGGTCAGAGATACCCTGTCATTTGTGGTCAGCAGACCTGGGTGGGGAGTGTGGGTTGAAGTTCTTGCCTGTGCTCAGGTCCTTAAGCCAGAGATGATCACCCCTGGCACAAAACAAAAGCAATGCCTCCGAAGGCGTTATCTCCCTGCTGCCCGAGGCCGGCTGACCTCCCAGGAGGGCAGGGTTCTCCCTCCCTGCGGTGCCCAGGGGAGCCCTAGCACCTCTGGCTGCGACCAGGCACCTCTGCACAAGGAGCTCCAGGTCACCCACGGTCCCCAGGGCCAGGCAGCGAAGCCAGGCCAGGCTCTGGCAGGCTGGCTGCAGGGGGGCATCCATGCACTGCCAACCCTGATAACCCCAGGCTGGCAAGGAAACCATTCCTTGATATGCTCCGCTTTGTAAAAGAGGTCAAATCCCGAGTGCTGGGCAAGGTGCAGGTGACCTCCAGCCCACCGTGGCTACTGACAGCGTCACCTGAAGCCTGATGGTGCCCAGATCTCCCCACGCTCAGCATGACTATCCCAGGGAGGGGAAGACAGGGTGGGCACATCACACTCTCTTTTGGCCACGACAGAACTTGTTGCCTCCTCTTCCTCTTAGCTTAATTATTTTGGAAATAACCATTATTTTAAACAACTGCTGCCAAATTCTGATACCAAAAATATTCAGAGTTGCCTGTAAATTGGGGGGAAAACCAGCCTTTTATTTCATATTTTCTGCTCTCGCTGTCCTCTCGAGCAGAGGCAATCTCTTGCAGCAGGAACGTGTGTACACGAAAGGAGCAATTTCTCAGGTTTCCCCGCCTTTGCCACTCCCCTGCCATTATTTACATTCAGCAGGCATTTTTCTGGAGTAGCTCTTGATCCCATGCCCAGCAGGCTCCAGACATCAAGGGAAGGTTCAGCTGCCTCTGAACACACTGCAGAACTATTGTGGTGGCTGGCTTCTCCTCCTCCCAGTTTTATTTTGATTTTCACATTTAAAAAAAAAAATATCCTCAAGGCACAGGAAAAAAAAATCCCCATGTCAGCAGAAATACTGCAGCTTTCTGGAGCACAGCACAGCTACAGAGAGCGGGAGGCAGCCCCGGGGTTATCTTATCCCTCAGCCAACACAGGCAGAGCTCCATCCCCCCAACCCCTCCCTGCCCTGGGCTGGCAGGGAGAGGGGCTGGCACTGAAATGCTGCGGAAGCACAGCCTGGGCAGGGAAAGGCACCGTGGGTTATTCCAGTGTTATTCAACACCTCGGGTTTTGATGAACTCGGGTTTTCCCCAAGACCTCCTGGGCATTCCCACAGCGGCCGGGGAGGACAGCGGGAACATGAACAGGCCCACAGCTGGGAGGGCACAGACTTTCACTGACTTCAGAGCGAGCTTTTGTAAACCATGTAAACTTCCTGCAGTGAGGAAGATACGAGGCAGTGACTAACACTGCTTGGAATAGCAACCCCAGCCTGGTTTTCCTGTTTATATACACAAGCCATGCACGATGCTAATTAGATACGATAAGAGGCCCTCATTCCTAGGTGCTGTAGATTGAATCCACACGTACATCTCGTTCGGCTGCTGTGTGATAAATCACATCAGGAAGCACTTTATTCCTTCAGGAGCAAGAAGTGAATGCAAAGTGCCTGGAGGTGTGAGCCAGACTTCCATTATTGCCCATCCACAGTGGACCTGCCACAGCCACCCTCCAGCACAAAAGCTGAAGTTATTCCAACACACACCTAATGCTGGAAAGAGGCAGCACATCCCTGGCAAAACATCCACGGAGCATCTCTTCCATACTTGCAACCATTTACCTTACGTGGCCAGAGACTGCACAAGGGCTAAACCACCATTAAAGTTTGAGAGGCTTGAGTAAACTTGGCACCTTGTAAACCAAAGCATTGACTGAATATATTGAGAGTACCTGGCTAGAAGCACCACAGAGAACTGTGTTTCCATGGACTAACACTCTCCATTCACAGAGGGTATGGCCACAGGAGAAGAGAAACAAGGAAACTGCACAAGAACCTCGCAGGAAAGCCGCGGACAGAGAAGTGCCACCTTTCCCTGCGCACAGCCAGCGCAACCCCTGGCACGCCCACCCTCCTCTGGGCGCCCCGGGCTGCAGGCACGCCGGGGCTGCGATGCCCCTCGGCACTCACCGATCCACAGCTTCCACATCGAAGCAAAACCTCTTCTCGATGGAGTCGGTTTTCCGCCGCGTGCAAGATTTGAGGATAACAGCTTCGTCTTCTCCCTGAGAACAGGCAAAATCGCAGATAAGGCCGAGAACAACCAGCGTGCCTGCCTCGGCACCCACTGTGCTTTCAATGGTTATGTTCAAACCTGAGGGGATTCGGCAGTATCAGCCTGCTAGAAACACATATTTATATATCTGACATGAGGACTTGCCTTCTCGCCCTCACAAACATGTTTAGTCCAAAATCTTTCACAAGGAGCCTTCCTTTCAGAAAGCACGTGACTAAATTTGTGCATTAAGCATCACGCGACTCATGCCTCAGGCAGGCAGGGAGTGTTGGACCACAACTTTTGCGCAAAGTCAGCTTTATTTTCCGTTGCTGAACAATGCATCATAGACCTGGCTGTCAATTTTCACTCCAGGCCACATTTTTGGCAGCATTCTGCACACGAGAACGCTGAACGGGAGCAAACATGTCTTAAAAATGTTTATTATATAACAAAGCAACAACAAAATCATTCTCCCATCCAGGCATCTGCATCCAAGTTGTACTGGATTTCCACGCGCCGAGCAGCGATCCGGCAGGATCCGCGTGCACTGCTGTCCTCTGCTGGAGGAAATCCCTGCTCAGTCCCTGCCAACACAGACCGGGCTCCTCCTGCAATTTTTAAAATCCACCGATGACTCAATAGAAAATGAATTCTGAATGAGTTCCTGTAGAAGGCCACTTTTCTGTGCTCTCTGTGCTGTTCTTGATGACACCTTGGCTGACCACCCTGTTCCCTGACATCACCATTTTTCCAGGAAACACATTTAGAATCACAGAATTGTTTTGGTTGGAAAAGACCTTTAAGATCATCAAGTCCAACCAGTAACCCAGCACTGCCAACGGTAGTGGATGCCAATGGATGGTCTATAACAGACTCCCACCATGATATCTGCCTTGTTGGCCTTCCCCCTGACTCCTACCCATAAACACTCCACCCTGTCGTCACCATCATTCAGCTCTAGACAATCCGAACACTCCCTAACACACAGGGCTACCCCACTGCCTCGTCTGTCCCTTCTGAAGAGTCTGCAGCCACCCACTGCAGCACCCCGCTTGCGCGAGTCATCCCACTGTGTTTCTGCGATGGCAAGTCTGTCAGAGCTTCCCTGCTGCACAATGGCTTCAAGCTCCTCCTGTCCGTTGCCCTCGCTGCAGGCCTTGGTGGAGATGTACTTCAGTCGGGCTACAGATCCCGCCATCGTTTTTTGGGGGGGGAAGAAGCCCTAATCCCCTAAATCCGGCACCCCTGTGGTTTCTAACACATCAATAAATAACCCTTGCATCTTTGCTACCACAAAGGACCAGCAAAGAGACCCAGGACAGACCCAGGAAGACAGATCTGAGAGAGCTCCCTGCAGGGCTTCTCCCCAGGGCTCAGCAGAGGCTACCTGCACCCTGTCCTCCCCAGCCTGCCCCGCTGCTGGCACAAGGCTGCTCCAAGCTGCCCAACTCCCCATGCGGCATTCAGGGAACTTCATACCCGGCTCCAGCCACAGCCTGAGGCATGCTCACGAGGGGCTGGCAGGTGACCCACGAGCGATGGGTCTCCTCCCGCAGCACCCACATCCCCTGTCGCTTGGTGCCTGCTCCAGCCAGACCCCAAAACGCCCGGTGGTGCGGTCACAAGCCCCCGGGCTGCTCCACGCTCTGACACCCGTGCCGGTCACCACTGCTGGGCGCTGGGGCCTGGATAGAGCTGCCCCAGTTTCATGCCAGGGCTGTGCAAGCCCTGAGACCCAGCCCCACCGGCGCGGCGGCTGGCACAGCCCACTGGAGCAGGGCTCCTGCCCCGCGCGAGACAGGCTCACGGTCGTGCTGGCAGCGCCCGCGCCCCGGGGTGCAGGGGAAACCGTGGAATGGGAAGAGACCACATGAAACCCAGCACGGCCGCTGATGATTACAGGGCTGGGATATTTTAATCCTGCATTATAATGAAGATGCTCCAAGGCAAGAGGAAAATAATTTTAAGAGTTGCCCTCCTCACGGCCGGCTCCCTTTGCCAGCAGGAGCCACACAGCAACCTCTGCAGCTGCCCGAGGCGCTCCTCTGCCAGGGGATGATGTTTGCAAACGGCCCCAGCCAGGAACACTCTGGGGGGGGTTTATTGTTCCTGCCGTATAGGGGAGTAAAGCCAGTGCTGGCTACAGCTGGGCTTACACTGCCCCGGGAGAGTGGAGCACACAGCGTGCACTGGCCCCCCACACCCCACATCCATCCACTGCTCCCCCTCCTCCACATCCCCTCAGGGCCGAGGGGAGCTCCAGGCTCTCCTGTGGCTCTGTCTGAAAGAAAACAACTTCACTGGCCAAGTCACAGGCATTGGGGAAGGAGCAAAAATAATGAACAGGTTCTTTTCTCCGGGCCTTGCAGCAGGAACTAGGGACTGGTAGCAGGCGCCCACGGACCCAGAGCATGGTGGGTGTGCGTGGCACAACCCCACTGTGCTCCCAGCCCTGACCACCACCTCCACCCACAGAAACAGTGGCAGCCACGCAGGGCACGGGGCAGATGCACGACCCACCGTGTGCCCAGCACCACCAGGAACAGCAAGAGTGGATCCAGAGATGCAACTGCACACGCTTCAGCTTTTAAAGGTCTCTCACGCACAGAAATAAGTAAAGGACAGACCCAGAAGCAAGAGGCAAAAGGCCCAGTCTCAACCCAGAGGCAGCTGTTGCAAACTTGTCCTGACAAATAGCTATGTGTGGGCACTGGCCTGGAATACGGAGCTGGAGCACAACAGAGCGGTGTCCAAGGGGCTCTGCGCACTTGGGAACCGGCTCTGCTCTCAGCACAGCTGGCAGTTCCCAAAGATCTCTGGGGTTTGCAGAGCTTGCTTGTCTTTTTTTTTTAAACAAGGTGCAGAGTTAATTCCCCCTGTGGCACCCGCTCAGCCTGGAATGAATCTGACCCACTTCACTTGAATTTGTGTCACCTTGCTAAAAATGGTTCAGTTTGAGCACTGGGAGAGCGTGCAGCTGGCAGCTCCTCAGTGCTCCTCAGCAGAGACCCCTGGGACACAGTCCTGCTGCCTATCGGCACTCACCCCTTTTCCTCCAGATTTCTGGTCAAATGGCACCATCGTGATCCGCTTTGATTCCCTCTGGTATGTGCAGTAATGCTTCACCCAGGAAGTCCCAAAGTGACCTACAAAGCAGATGCAGCTTTTATTCCCAGAACCAGTACAGTTCCCATGCCTTCCCATTAATAACCTCTACGTCTAACGATCATTTAACACAACACATTTCTGTACCCACGGTTCTTGTTGGACCTCACAAGTGGATTAAGCGTTATTAACCCCTTTTTGTTCAGGGGAAAGACTTTTATCAGGCACTGGCAGTGATCCTTTCTCCCAGGGAGAACCTGGCTCCCGCATTCCCACCTTAACATCCCACCCACTGGGCCAATCCCTCTCTTTCACGGATTTGGTACCCTGCCGAGCTCGCCTTTGTGCCCCACGCCCTGACAAACCACCTTCCCCAGGTGCCCGCTCGCTGCACTGCCCCGGCAGGCAGCTCTGCCACCCCGACACCTACGTTTCTCCTGCACATAGAGGTAACCCTCCATCGTGTAAGGGCTGATGTTTTTGTGCTCGTGAGGGTTCTCCTTCATCTTCTTCATCAAAGATTCAACCTCTGACCTCGTTCCTTCAAAACGATTTCTTGTCTGCA